CACCCCCAACCCTACCCCATATCTCCCTAAAGCACAGATACTGCTGATTGGAAAGGGTGCTTTAAACCCTGGAGAGAAACCTCGTCTGGAGTCTACTACAAGTAAATCTTCACAGTTGCATTTGCTTGAGCCCATAAGAAAGGACGTAGAGGAGTGAAAAGAAGAGGCTGTTGGTGTAAATGGTCAACCACATGCAGTCATGTGCCACATAACATTTTGATCAATGACAGATCATATTAATGATACTGGTCTCATAGGATTATAATACCATATTTTTACTACACTATATCATGTTTGGACACAAAAATACTTACTGTTGTGTTACATTTGCCTACAGGATTGAATACAGTCACATGCTATACAGGTTTGTAGCCTAGGAACAAAAGGCCATACCATAGAGCGTAGGTGTGTAGTAGGCTATACCATCTAAGTTTGTGTCAGTACACTCTGATGTTCGCACAGTGGTAACACCTAACAACGCATTTCTCAGAATGTGTCCCCTTTGTTAAGAAACACATGACTGTACTTCCCTTGGAAAATCCTTGGATTGGAATATGACTCAAATGATACAATAAAGCAACTGAATTATGAGATTTAAAAGCTACTGGTATTAACTGGTTTGGCAATTTTCTTACTCTGATCTACAAGAATTTGCTTATGGAATTTCAAGGAGGCACACATGAACCTATCTTTCCTAAGAGCACCAAATGCACTAATGGTGGCTAAGTCACAAGCCTATGTATACGGAGAGACCTAGGAGGGAGGGCACAGGTCTTGGCGGAGGGGTGAAGGGTACTGGTATTTATTTACTTTTCATGGCCATACTGTTGCCATAGAGATCTAAGTAACTCCCACATGTAAAACCCTTCAGTGGCTCCCCATTGCCCTGAAGATTACTCCCCTCCCTTAACATGTTTGCCCTCTTTCAGGATCTGGCACAAAACTTCTCTATCTGGGATTTAATCAAATTAAACTTGTTGCTATTACTCATTTTAACTATGAGAAGAGGTAATAATAATTGCCAGAAAAAACTAATAGGCCGGGCACAGTGGCTCACGCTGTAATCCCAGCACTTTGGGAGGCCGAGGTGGGCGGATCACCTGAGGTCAGGAGTCCAAGACCAGCCTGGTCAACATGGTGAAACTAAAAATACAAAAATAAGCTGGGCGTGGTGGTTCATGCCTATAATCCAGCTACTCCGGAGGCTGAGGTGGGAGAATCGCTTGAAACCAGGAAGCAGAGGTTGCAGTGAGCCAAGATCGTGCCATTGCACTCCGGCCTGGACAACAAGAGTGAAATTCTGTCTAAAACAAACAAACAAACAAAACTAATAGATTATATAAGTTTTTGTATCCAGAGGAGCTAAGCGAGTGCTTAAAAACAGTAGATGCATAATGACTAAATTAATGAATGAATAAATAAAAGAACAAACAAATGAGACATTTTTCTTATGTGATTCTGTCCAGTTGTTTTGATACAAAATTTGCTAGTTTATATTCACAGGAGGAAAAAATTTTAAATATATCTACATATGCTAATATTCACAGGAATAAAAAATATCTGTCTATCCATCTATCCATCTGAAAGCCCAACAGAATCAGGCATTTTAGATATGGTTGTTATCTTCAGTGGGGATTGCTGAACCCAAGAAAGCAAGGGATTTACTTGTGTTTACCTTTTCATCCTCAAGTCTAATTTTTTTTAATCATTCAACAAGCCAAAAGTCCCTGAAGCCAAACCATATGATTGAAAATAAAATTGTAACCTGGTCATCTACTGACTAGGGAATTAATCAGGACCCCAACTCACTTCCTTAGTACCATTTTAGTCTGAAAAAAGAAAACAACTAAAGAAATCATGGCCAGGCACGGTGGCTTATGCCTGTAATCCCAGCACTTTGGGAGGCCGAGACAGGCAAATCACCTGAGGTCAGGAGTTCAAAGCTAGCCTGGCCAACATGGCAAAACCCCATCTCTACTAGAAATACAAAGATTATCCAGGTACGGTGGTGGGCACCTGTAATCCCAGCTACTTAGGAGGCTGAGGCAGGAGAATCGCTTGAACCCGGGAGGCAGAGGTTGCAGTGAGCCGAGATCGTGCCATTGCACTTCAGCCTGAGTGACAGAGTAAGACTCTGTCTAAAAAATAAAATAAAAAAAAAAGAAATAAAAAATATCTGGTATTAATGTATCACCCAGGCCAAAAATTGCAGACCACTGAGTATCAGAAAACAAACTGTCATCTAAAAATGTCTCCTGAATAGATATCACTAGTTTAAAAAGTATTAATGCAGCTTTCTAATTACATTAATGAAGTAGTTTAGAACAGAATGACTAATTCCTTTGCACAAATATGAAGAGACCTCTAGAGAATTACTTTGCCATAGAATCCCCCTTTCCCCCCAATGCTACCAGCAGCCTTAATAATAGTACCACCATCTACTACTCATTGCTCAGATCAAAAACCTAGTAGTCATCCTGGGTTCTTCTCTTTCACATCCAATCCATTTATAAGTCTTGAGAGCCCTGGCTACAAGAAATGTCTCTAAACTGACCATTTCTCACCTTCATTGTTACCACCCTTGTTTAAAGCAATTAACAGGTCTCCTTGACATCACATTTGCCATCACATTGGCAAGTCATTGACAACCCATTTGGCCGTCTTCTTCACAGCAGACAAATTAATTTTTTCTAATTACATCAGACCTCATCCCTTTTCTGCATAAAACACTCAGTGACTCTTCATTGCAACATGAATAAACTCCAAGCTCCCTACCATGGCCAAAAACGCCTTCAGTAACGCAGTCTCTGCCTTCCTCTTTACCCTCATCTCCCTGACCATTCTCCCTTGTTCACCCCATCCCAATCTACTGGTCTTGTTTCTATCAGACATGCTGAGCTCAATCTCTTTCCCCTCAAAATTGTCAAATGATTGCCTTTTCCCCAACATTCACACTTTAATTCAGATATCATTCTTCTGAGAGATCTTTTTTTTTTTTTTTTTTGATATGGGAGTTTTGCTCTGTCACCCAGGCTGGAGTGCAGTGGTGCGATCTCAGTTCACTGCAACCTCCACCCCTTGGGTTCAAGCCATTCTCTGCCTCAGCCTCCCAAGTGGCTGGGATTACAGGTGCCCACCACCACACCCAGCTAATTTTTTGTATGTTTAGTAGAGACAGGGTTTCACTATCTTGGCCAGGCTTATCTTGAACTCCTGACCTCGTGATCCATGCGCCTCAGCCTCCCAAAGTGCTGGGATTACAGGTGTGAGCCACCGCACCCGGCCTCTTCTGAGAGATCTTTCTTAACAAATTTAGTCAGTCTGTAATGCAACACTTTATCTTTTCATGGCTGGACTTATCATTTGTCTCCTCCCACTAAAGGGGAAGCTACTTATGGGCAAGGGGTCATCTGTGTTGTCCTTTTCCCTGTCCTGTGAACAGAACAGTTCCTAGCACAAAGTATGCATTAGTAAATACTTGCCAACTAACCCAGTACCACCATAAAAGGATATTCTTCTCCAAATAACAAAGCCTCACGTTCAGAATTAACACACCTGGAAGCTCCATTTTGAAAAACAAACAGTTTATCTCTTTGAAAGGAATATTCCAGACCACTGTGTGATAAGATTTGCATCCCTAAGTAAAGAAATGACTTGTCATGGGCAGACACCATAGGTAGTTCATCTTTCATTCTCACTAGATTAAGATGTAAAAGTCTGATTTCAACATCCTGAGACCTTCAAGCTAAACTTGATGAATTATTTCCCTTCTCTGGTCAACGGATAAACAGAAACTTCTTGTCAATTCTCACTATAATTTACTGAATCTTACATCTTTGGAAATCTGTTTGCTCCATCTCAGTGCAGTTACAGCTCCACTCTGTGGAAAAACAAGGAAGATAGGCAATACAATGTAGGTATGTTACCTAAGTGATCAGTGAGAAAATTTGGGAAACTATGTATAAGAGATTATAATCTGTAAAAACCTATGCACAAAATGTCAGAATGATAAAGAATATTTTATTCTTATCTAGACTGGATATGGTACTTCTAAAAATTAATTACGTATCAGGGCCCAATAAATATTTGATTATTTACATGCTGTCTTTCCCATCTTCCCGCCTCTTATTTCCATAGCACACTTGAAGCTGTTCAGCAATTTTCGCTTTTAACTATTGCATCTCTGTCAGTAAATACTCTGACATGTATAAAAATCACAAATACAAAACACAAAATTCATTCTAGTCAGATCCAGAAATGAGACAATTTAAAGCAAATAATTCCCTATATGTAAATACATAGAGATGCAGCCATGGAAACCAGCAGAGGCAGCACTCTCTTTTCTGAAAAGAAAAGACATATTTTTCACTGACTTGCATCCCTTGACCTTTGCCTAGGAAAAAAGATCCTTCATAAAATTGTCAATAGTTATGAGTGACACTAAATCAAGAACTAATCAATGTCCAACTGGCTCAGTTTCCAGGAGATCAGGTGCGGAAATAAGTTAATCTCTTCCCAAAAGGCTCAGAAATATTTTTAACATTTCTTAGGATTTAATACATTGCAATTTTGGGTCCTCGAGGCACCAAAGCATAGTCTGATTTCTAGTAACACAGCAACACCCAAACAAACAGCTACACAGTTTGTACTGGTTTACTGTTGAAGACTTTAAAACCATTTCAGGCCCAGTTTCAACATATGATTGATGGAAATAGGATAATTCTTTCCCTCCCTAGCCTCAGTTGGTAGAATTTGAGCTCCACTATATACTACTGGGTCTTTCATTGGACTAACTCATTAGAAGGCTTCAACTGTTAATGAAATTAGAAACTAGGCAAAGTTTGTCTTTGGTGACTCAAGAAAGATAAACCCTCATCTCCACTCTCCCCCATGCTCCTGTTGCTCTTTAGCTCTCAAGTTCTTTTCCTATCAAAACATCCTCTGTGCAAGAAATCAAAACTCCTTAGCATTAAAATAAATGTTTGCTAGAAGCTTCAAGGATGACCTTTCTCAAGGAGCTAAGGAAACAAACAGGAATCAGGGCTCTGAATGATCGTATGTTTTCCAGAATAAGAGAACAGGTAGGGAGATGACTGGGGAGTTTTCCCTGAACCTGTAAAATTGTACCACACAGCAGCTGCCTGCTTTGGCTACACTGTGGTTGTCAATTCAGTTAAAAACTTCAAAACCAGACTCTTCTCTCAAGTCGTTCATAATTCAGACAAGTAAACAATTAATTTTCATTTATGAAATAATTGCAAGGATATTTAAAGGACAGAATTAGTACAAAAAAAGGTTACGTTTTACAGAGGAGACAATGATTGAGTTTGGTTTTCAAGAATGAATAAGAATTTGTCAGTGGTTGAGGTTAAAGGACATTTTAAGCAATGGGATCAAAATGAGCAAGGTAAGGTGAACTGAAAAGCATTATATTAGTAGCATGGACTCTAATTCACCCTCTTCCCCCTCCAGAAGATTCTGACCTTAAGTATTATGAACTCTGCTTACAACTATCAGTGCTCAGTTTTAGGACACAAATATGTATTGAGAATATTATTGATGGATATTCACTGTGTGGAATACAGTGACGAACAAGGTACAGCCCAACCCCAAAGCAGTTTACAATACAATGAATGGGTTTAGACAGAAATGTATGCAAATAACATAAGATCACTCAAAATGAAATTCGGGATATCCCCCAATCTGGCCATAGTTCCCTGTATGGCTGCCAGCAGCTGCTTAGACCAGCCTTTACTCAGCTAACAGTATGCAGGCCTGTTAGAATAAGGAGAGCTCTGCTCCAAGTGTTGACAAATGTCCCTCCCACTGTAGCTAGATCAGCCTGCCTGATCATCCATGATGAAAGTTTGAGCTCACCAGGAAGCCTTGACTCCTTTGGCCAGATATCCAGCTGATTGTTTTGGACAATTATGAATTGGGTAAATATTTTCTTAAGGCGGAAACGTTAACAGTTTGGGTAAATGCTCTCCAAAGCTTCAGGTACGGAGTCAACCACACTTTTCCTTTAGAAAGTCTCATCCTCTTGCTTTTAACCTTTTAAAGTAGTATGGCAAGATTGGAATTCTCTGCTGCTTTTCTTTTTGCCTTTTTTATTTTCTTGAGTGCAGAAGCATGGAGGACCCATGTTAAGAGGTCCTTCCCTCTTGAGAAAGCATCTGAAGTCCAATCATCTGCCTTGAGATTCCCACTTATGGAATGATAGGAGCCCCTCATGTAAAATGAATGCAGTAACAAAAGATGAAAGCAATCTCAGTAAACACTGAGATCTCATTATATGAAAAAAAAAATGTGAATGGGGTATTCTCTAGTTCAGAATCACAGAAGCATAGACTCAAAAAGACCTCAGAGGCCATTTCATCTAGTTTCTCATTTTATGATTTCGGGAATTCATTTTCATTCATTGACTTATTCAAAACTCGAAATGATTCATCCTAGGTCAGCATTCATCTTACTGACTCTCAAAGTATAATCCCAGCAGCATTAACATCACCTGAGGCTTCCTAAAAACAAAAATTCTTTTTCATTTTATTTACTCATTTATTTATGAGACAAAGTCTCACTTTGTTGTGCAGGCTGGTTTCAAACTCCTGGCTTCAAGTGATCCTCCCACCTCAGCCTCGCAAAGTGTTGGGATTACAGGCATAAGCCACTGTGCCCAGCCAAAAAAACTTAAAATTCTTGAGTCCCGTCCCAGATCTACTGCATTGGAAGCTGTGGCAGTAGGGCCCAGCATCTGTATTTTAACAAATCCTCCAATTTATTATAGTGCATGTAGAAGTTCGAGAATTACTTCCCTATACACTATAAGTGAAATGTATTAGTCAGGGCTATATAGTTTAACTGGTTTAAGCAAAAAGGGAATCTGTGCTCTATGCAACTGTTAAGTTCAGGGAATAATAGTTTCTCCAGAATATCTGTGAAAAACACTACATTTTTGCAATGACTCCCCATTTCCTTCCCCACCAACTACATACTCCTCTGTTACAGTTGTATATAATCTTGCTCCTAAGTTGCCGAACTTGATTTTCCACTGCTCTTCAACAGGCATCTCAGCTAGACTTTGTGGTCTCCTCTCCATGCCTTGACAATGCCATGTCCATTTCCCTCATTCTCATTTCATCCATGAGGTTCCCCTTGACCACAACACTTTCCATTCCCTCCACCTATCAAAAATCCTGCCCAGACATTAAGATTTAAGCTCACATTCCACTACTTACATAAAAAATCCTTTGTCTGCTCCAACCCTTTCTTATAACTGTCTTATTAACTCTCACAACATTTAGTCTCTGACTCAAACAATGTAGCTGTTAATTACGTTTCTGTCTTAGGGACTGTTTTGTTGTAAAAGAACCCATCTGTGTTAGCTTAAATAAATGTAGATAGTGGTAAGGATTCGGATGGATTTCCCATAATCCAACTGCAGGATGATGAGCTAAACCTCAACAGGTTTGAAAGTCTTAAGTATTAGATAAGAGCACTTACTCCTCATGTTGCAATATGAGTAGACATATACTGGCCTGTCGCCTTAACCCTCAATCAATATTAATTATGACTGGTGAGTTTGAAGGAAGAAACTACACATGCTTTGTGCAGCCCTTTCCTTTCTTCTCCTTGGGGATCTTCTGTATGGGGCATTCAAGGGCAGGCCCCACAGCTGGGAAAAACCATGGTGGGACAGTGGGTAGCACTGCAGTTTTCCAAGTCTACCTGTGATTAAGTAGATAAGTTTATTTCTGCAGTGAAGTTGATAAGCCCCTTGATACTGCAAGATTAAAGTTGTCTTCCTGGCCAGGCGTGGTGGCTCACGCTTGTAATCCCAGCACTTTGGGAGGCCAAGGCAGGCAGATCACGAGGTCAAGAGATCGAGACCATCTTGGCCAACATGGTGAAACCCCATCTCTACTAAAAATACAAAAATTATCTGGGCGTGGTGGCACGTGCCTGTAGGCTCAGCTACTCAGGAGGCTGAGGCAGGAGAATGGCTTGAACCCACAAGGCGGAGGTTGCAGTGAGCTGAGATTGGGCCACTTCACTCCACCCTGGTGACAGAGTGAGACTCCGTCTCAAAAAAAAAAAAAAAAAAAGTTGTCCTCCAAATGGCTTAAACAGCAATAAACACTTTTATTTCCATGTGCCTGACTTAATTATCTGTCCCTCAGTTGGTTTGGAACTCAGGAGATGAAAAAGGGGGTGTTATCAATGGTCACACTAAAATTTAGGTAATAGGCAGTGATCCTTTCTCTATCTGGAGCTGCATATTTAGGATTTCTGCTGTAATCCACTCCAATTCATCTCACTCTGAAAACTAACTTCTTTTTAACTGGATCTTCTGGTTCCTCACTAACCTGGGCTTTTATATGGAACTAGTGTTATTATTAGTGACAGAGACTACTAATTTTCACCAAAATTTAATCTCCTCTGCTTCTTTAGTAACAGAACACCCAAAGAGGTGTTGAATGGTGGCCCAGAATAAAGAATACATTTCTCACCTAGGTGTTACCGTTTGTTAAAGTTCTCACCAATGAGATTTAAGTGGAAGAGCTGTGCACACTTCCCAGAAGATATCCTAAAAAGGGAAGGAGTTTGATCTTTTCTTCACATTTCTTCCATTCCATTGATTGAAATGCAATTCTAATGTCTGGAGTGAGGGCAGCCATTTTGGACCATGAGAGAGAAGCAGAGTTGTGCTAGATCTGGCTTATATGAGCTTAGGAGAGCAGATGGTTAAACACTGAGGAATTCTGCAAGCTGGTTGTTAAACCATTGTAGCTTGAAATTGGCCATGGTGGGAGTATTTCTACCATGAAAATCAGGCAAATGCTACAACTTATGCCATTTTTCCCCCCAGAGGGCCAGTTTACCAGCCTACCACTGGATAAAAGCCACATGTTGAAAATGGTAGAGCAATAAGACAGAAGGGGTCTGAGTCCCTGATGATCATGAAATGGCTAGCCAGATGAGCCTTCAGGACTGCCTATATTTACATGAGAGAAAAATAAGTTTCTATCTTGCTTGGGCATTGTAATTTTTGCTTTCTGCCCCTCAAAGCCAAATTTAATTGTAACTAAAGCCCATTTGAGGCACTAGACCCAACTCAGCACTATCTAAATACAGTTTTGGGGTCATTAAGGAAACTGAGAACGAAAATGTAACTAGTTCAGTTTAGGTCAGGTATTCACATTCCTGGTGCAATCTGTGGGACCAGAGATGTAGGTTCCATGGTACAAACCTGGCCACCTAAACCTATCCTTTCAGCAGGGACTATTGATTCACATCTGAAAAAGAAGACATGGGCTGACAGACATCCCAAAATAGTTTACTATGCTACCATTTACTATATTAGCACATATTAAATACCATTTGCCATATTAGCACATAGTAAATGGTAGTATAGCACATAGTTTTTCTTTTCCTTTTTTTTTTCTTTTTTTGAGATGGAGTTTCAGTTTATTGCCTAGGCTGGAGTGCAGTGGCGTGATCTTAGCTTACTGCAACCTCTGCCTCCTGGGTTCAAGTAATTCTCCTGCCTCAGCCTCCCGAGTAGCTGGGATTACAAGCATCCACCACCATGCCTGACTAATTTTATATTTTTATTAGTAAAGGGGTTTTACCATGTCGGTCAGGCTGGTCTCAAACTCCTGACCTCAGGTGATCCACCCATTTCGGCCTCCCAAAGTGTGGGGATTACAGGCATGAGTCACCACGCCCAGCCCTTATCTAATATCATTCTATGTAGTATCTATTCCTTTTAGGCCTATTTGTCTGAATTATTTTCCAAAAACATTTTATAGATCATTGTTCATATGCATTTTTCCTTTAATTACTAGATAGAGATTTTCTGTTTTGCCATGAGTGCAGTAGACTGTTTTATACTCTGTCAGTCACTGAGCACTCTACTATGCTGTCCTAAGTATCTTGTTTATTCCAATATGGTCTCTCTCCATTTATTTTATGTTCTAGCCAACCATTTTGACCAATAATGCCTGACAAAAGCTATTCAAATGATGGTGCTGTACCTGCTTAAAGGAACAAGAAAGAGAACCACAGGAGACCTTCAAATACCTGTTTTACTGCAGCTCTAAGCACCTTCAAGGAAACAGAGGATAAAGTTCCTTAGGGAATAAGAGACTTGTAAAGATCTTTTGACTATAGGAAAACCCTCATAAACATGACTGCATCCAAGGAGGATTGACCAACAATCATGTGAATATGGAGCTAGAGGAAGACATAGATGGAGGCATATCAGACTTTAGGGGATCTGAAAAGACTGGAAAAACTACTGTCACTGTAGTTTTTCAGTGGAAATGCATTTCCAGTGGACTTTGCTATCATGACCTTTTATACTGCTGATTCACTTAGGGCACCCAAATTCAACGACACAATGCAGCACTCAAATGCATCTACTTAAAGTTGATGTGCGTGTGTGTGTGCATGTGTGTGTGTATTTCATATCTGAGTTGATATATTATTGTTAATCAGATTATAAACTCCTGGAGGACCTTGAGAGAAATAAATAAATAAGACAGGATCCTTAACCTATTAAATAAAAGAGAAAAATAAAGAGAATACTACAAAGTGGTGTGAAAAGTGCTATGAGAGAGGTAAGCAGAGTGCAGTGTTCATAAAAGTTGACTTTCCAATATCCATTTCACCCCCTATGAACAGTCTAATCCACGCATGAGAATCCTATTCCCTTCACTGGCCATTGGTTTCAGAAGTGAACATCTGATTCAGTCTTGGTAATGAGACACAGATGGAAGTGGAAAGTTTTCTGAGAAAGTTTTCTCACTCCTAAACTGGAGACACAAAGAAGAGATGCTCCCTCTCCTTCGCTGAACTTTGGACTGGGCTTACTGTAAGGCAGCAGATATTATTTTAGCACATGGAAAAGAAAGCCTGGAAAGAAAAAGGTATCTGAGTAGACAGACTTTAAATGCCACAGGAGGAAGTACCATTCTTCTCATGGCCAGGAGCTAAACCTTTTTAAAAAGGCCTAGACCAACTGCTTTGCATGATAACTAATTGCAAAAGTCTTATCCCTACTCCTTACTATGTTATAGGGCTAGGACGAAGTCTAAAGCAAGACCACAAGCACAACACCTTGGCCAGCCCAACTGGCAGTGTCAAGAACAAAAATTCCAATTTTTTTTTTCTAAGAGTGAGATTATTTGATGGTGAGAAAAACAAAATGATTAGTAGCAAAATTTTTGGGGGGAAATGGAACTATTCAATGATCCCTTCCCCAAATTCTTCATCCCTCAACTACTCATACAGGAGTTTTGCTTTCTTCAGGTGCACCTCAAGAACCACAAGTTTCTCAAGAGATGGGTATACTAACCAATCTCTGTAATTATTTCTAAATCCTGTCCTTTCAGAGTCTTGTTCTACACTCCACTGGTCATGTGAGGTTCTTAATCCTCACTGTGCATCAAAATCACTAGATCAAAAACAAAACAACAAAAAAGTCCCTAAAACTACAATACCCAGACCAATTGAAACTAGTATGAAGCCAAGGCTAAGAAACACTAACTCATTGTACTGGGGGCTAAACATCAAGAATCGCAGAGGGAGTCCTGGAGCTAAGAATAAAACTCTACCTCACATTCTATGTCTAGAGGAATTACAGATGTAAGGGACAGACATCCTCATGTAGGCATTAAAGGCAGTTAATACTTCAGCAGACTCACTTCTCTGATTAAAGACTTGGAGAAAACAGAGGTCACGCTGGGCGGGTGGTTCACATCTGTAATTCCATCACTGCCAAGGCAGGCAGATCACTTGAGGTCAGGAGTTCGACACCAGCCTGGCCAACAAGATGAAACCCTGTCTCTACTTAAAAAAAAAGAAAAAGAAAAAGAAAAGAAAAATTAGCTGGGTATGGTGGCACACACCTGTAATCCCAGCTAATCGGGAGGCTGAGGCAGGAGAATCGCTTGAACCTGGGAGGTGGAGGTTTCAGTGAGCCAAGATTATGCCACTGCACTCCAGCCTGGGCGACAAAGTGAAATCCTGTCTCAAGAAAAAAGAAAAAGAAAACAGGCATCATCTCTTAGGGAGATGCATTTTGCAGAGAGCTGACTATCCCTTCCACCATCTCTTACTGTTTGGGGCGTTAGAATGTGACCTAGGCATTCCACATGAACTAGAATGTGCTTCCCACCAACACCACTAGGCTAGGGATTGGAGATTGGCTCTGATCTGAAAGTTGTCACATCATTGACCTGACACAGCACCTGATCCTTGGGAGAGCAAAGGGAGGAGAGCGGTGCTGAAGCTGAGAAGTGCCAGAGGACAGACTGCATTGCCACTCTTTGGAATAGCAAGAATAAAGAGTTTCGCACGGCACTGATAAACACCAAGGAAGGTGGTGGGAGGCTTAAGCCTTCATGCTTTCCCGTGAAACTGGGTACTATGGTATGAAGATTATTATACCTGAGAGAGGTCTCCACCTGGAGCTTGGTCACAAATATCCTACAGAGTCCACAAGAACCAGCATATATGTTTCAAGAGAGACCATATTCAGACTCCTTCCTATGGATTTAACCAAAGGACAGTCTGTTGGCCAAATAAACAGCCACAATCTGTGGAGAGAAGTGAGGACAAGACAACCTCACTAGAGGCAGGCAGGTAAGAGGAGTCAATGTTAGCTTCAGTTTCAGAGGGTAACCACAGGAAAGGGGACTAGGATGTGAGAGAAGAGACCAAGACCCCCCACTCCACCCTCCAGTATTTAAGATTACTAGACTATTCTGGGGGTAGATAGAAGAGAAAGAAGACTTTTGGATAGAAAATGATTTTTACACTTTTTAAATGAACACTTCTGAATCTTAAGATTCCAATGAGAGCATTTTTAATAAACTGGATGTGACACAAGTTATAGAACTAGGCTGAAACATCATTAAGGAAGCTTACTACCCAGCAGGCAAAGAGTTTTTTAAAAAACACTGTTAGTAGAAATTATGGGGAAAATAAGATCCTTTCATGTTTATACCTTAACATAAGGAAAGAGTCTCATGAAATTGGTTAAGCATGGTAATGTCTGCACTCTTTGAATGTGAGTTGAAGTGTTGACTCTCCTAAGTGACACATTTATGTTTCCAAGGTGATTTTCATGGAGACAAAAGGTGGAGAAGGACAGTCCTGTGAAGTGGCTGCCACATTCAAAGGTAACAGTAAGTCTTCATCAAGAGCCAGACAAGCCTCAGAATAACAGGTAAATAAATAATTTAAAGCAGAGGTCTCACATTACCAGACTAAGTCCCAACCAAGCAAATCATGTTCCTTATTTGAAATTCCTCTAAGTGTCACAAAGGTTGTTGTGTTTGTGATGTAGGTTTTGACTGTCCTCATGTTACCAGAAAGGGGTCCTGATCCAGACCCCGAAAGAAGGATATTGGATCTCGCACAAAAAATAATTTGAGGTGAATCCATAAAGTGAAAGCAAGTTTACTAGGAAAGTAAAGGAATACAGGAATGGCTACTCTATAGGCACAGCATCCCCAAGGGTTGCTGGTTGCCCACTTTTACAGTTATTTCTTGATTATATGCTAAACAAGAAGTGGATTATTCATTCCCCTTTTTAGACCATATAGGGCAAACTGTCATGGCGCTGATGTGAGTGTAGCAGTGAGGACAACCTGAGGTCCTCATCGTCATCTTGGTTTTGGTTTGGTGGGTTTTAGTCGGCTTCTTTACTGCAACCTGTTTTATCAACAAGGCCTTTATGACCTGTATCTTGTGCCCACCTCTTATCTGATCCTGTGAGTTAGAATTCCTAACTGTCTGGGAATGCAGCCCAGTAGGCCTCAGCCTTATTTTACCTAGCCCCTATTTAAGATGAAGTTGCTCTGGTTCAAACACCTCTGAGTTGAATGAAAAGCATTCAAAAATAACCAAATAAAAAACTTTATGTGGATAAAGAATCAGAAAGACTGTGGCGACAATTCTGAGTCAAACCTTCACCATTTTCCCCTCCTTCCTGTAGTGAAATTAGACTCAGGAGAAGTTCCAGGATTTAACAAACCCAGGAATAATAGTCTATATTTCAATACTGAAAAGTTTTCTTACTCTGTTTATCAACTATGGGGACTATGACTAAAATATTACAAGAAATAACTCATGTCTCAAGACTCAGAGCCAAATTAATTTCACCTATCTATAATTTGCTACACAAACAACCACTTTCCCAGAGGCCTCTGTTCCCATAGGTCAATAAACATGAGATGACTCCACGATGAGACTCCCAGGCTTCAGACAAGTCCATAGTCTTAGGTAATTATGATCTGAGGTGGTTTTGAAGCTCCTCTTACACACACACACACACACACACACACACCCCAAACCCATCCCTCCTACCCTCTGCACCCCGCCCCATCTCTGGGCCAAAACTTTCTTTCCAGTGGGTCTGAAAAGTACTGCCTGAAATTCTCAGCATTCCTGTCATTCCCTAAGGGCTGAGGCAGCTCTCTAAACATTCTTTCAGGCACCTGAGGAATTGGGCCACCAGCTCTTCTGTGGGGAGCCAACAGGAAATTAAGTATAAAGGGCAGCAAAAGTATTTGGGGAGATGATAATGAGGCATAAAGGAAACATAAAGAAGGGTGGGGGTGCAAGAAAAGAAGTCTGGTCTACCTACACACTTTGCCCTGCAGACGACTCCACCTCTCAGCACGTGTGATGACTTACCTAGGAATGGAATGTGGGCCGGGGAGGGGAAGCTGGTACAAAGCTGTGGAGGCTGGAAAGGAACCTGGGGCCCTCGTACAAATCCTGAACAGTGACTTTCCAAGCTTCTGGAATCACTTGCCAGAAGCTTGGGGAAAAAATGTTTTCACTGAGGGGTCTAATTGGATGTCAAAATCCCTCTACAGAAAGCCTGGCTCCTAGAGCTTCCTAGTTGCTGAGCTGGGCTATCCTGGCAAGAATCCTCTCCCTCCTCCTTTCTTTCCCTCTTCCTCCCTTCCTCTTTCCCCTCCTTTTCTCTTTTCCACACACAATCTGACAGTTTATTTGGGACAATTCTTTGGAGAACTGGGATACACCTGCAGTATATTCATTTTTAAGCCACGGACAAACCACTAGAGGGCAATGCCATCACTAATCGCTGAAACTTTCCTGATTTCCTCTGGCTTCAGCATTCAGCAGGCCTATCCATACATCCTGTGACAGGATGTTTCTGAACTTTTCCTTTCCTTCAATTCTCATTGTAAATAAACAACCTCGGGGTGAATACATCCAGATGCACATCATAGACATGCAGTATGAATTGCACAGGCCAAAGTTTCTGGTCTATCTGGAACAATCTTGCCTAATATGCACCACAGTTCAGAAACCAGAGCTTAAGCTTGCATTTTTGTCCTGAATTTCTGCCTGAATTTTGGAGTTTCTCTCAAATGCTATCTCTAAGGGCAAAAGGAGCCCTTCAAAGAAATGAAAAGCTAAATAATCCAGCATAGCCCATTTGTACAGGATTTCTGTTTTGTTTCCATATTCAAGTTACAAGTATTTGGTTTGCTTAAATGCAGGGTTGTCCAAATGGTCAAAAGCTATTAGTAGATTAGTCATGTATGCAAACATGGGGAGCAGGAGCAGATGTTTCTATGTGTATAAATGGGGTCCCAATAAATTTGGTCCTAGCCAGGGCATACCAAAGAAAGCAAAGCTACAGCCAGGGGTGGTGGCTAATGTCTGTAATCCCAACACTTTAGGAAGTTAAGGCAGGAGGATCACTTGAGGCTGCGAGTTCAAGGTTAGCCTGGGCAACATAGCAAGACTCCATCTCTACAAAAATAAAAATAAATTAGTCAGGTATGTACTGTCATACAGGTGTGTACCTGTAGTCCCAGCTCCTCAGGAGACTGGGGTGGGAGGATCTTTTGAGCCCAGGAGTTTGAGGCCGCAGTAGCTATGATCACACCACTGCACTCCAGCCTGGGTGACAGAGCAAGACCCTGCCCGATAAAAAAAAGCGGGGGGAAGGGAAGGGAAGAGAAAGAGAGAGAGGGAAGGAAGGAAGG